TCAATTTTGGACTTCTTTCATTCTTGACTTTTTGCAGTGAACCAGACAGAGCACGACAGGTCGATGCAGAACGATCAGTGGAATGTCTGGGCTGAACAGGAGACGCTGCAGATGAACCCAGAGCCAAGGGCTGTGGTTAAACATGTGCCTTTGTTTAAACATATCATGGACATTAGAGGTAAAAATGGGATTAGTTCCTGAGTCCATGCAGCAGCACTCACTGTTGGATAAAACTGTTTCTAAGTCATGTCATGAGCAGGAAATGAGGTCAGAGGAGTTTATTGTGACATTTGGCGTCATAGAGACAGCACGTTAGCATTGTCCACTCCCGTTACAGAACATACAGTACCTGCACCTTCACGTGTAAAGACAGGACGTGGCAGAATGATTTATGATTCTTTATAAATCATTCTTACAGAGGCCCTTTTCTACAGGGGCCCGATGCCTCGACATGTGTGGCTGATGCCCTGTGTCCTCTGATGGGACAGCGTCCCCTTTGAGGTGAATAGGTCCATACAGAGACTGACGGGACTGACTCAGGACTGACTCAGGACTGACTCAGGACTGACGCAGGATTGACTCAGGATTGACTCAGGACTGACTCAGGATTGACTCAGGACTGACTCAGGACCGACTCAAGACTGACTCAGGACTGACTCAGGACTGACTCAAGACTGACTCAGGACTGACTCAGGACTGACTCAGGACTGACTCAGGACTGACTCAGGATTGACTCCGGACTGACTCCGGACTGACTCAGGACTGACTCAGGACAGTTAGAAGCAGGAACACGGCTGTAACTGTCCAGGGAAAAGATTATACTGGAGTTTACTAAAATGTTTTTGTTCATTAATGAGACCTTAGGGTTAAGTTAGGGCTAATTAGCTTTTAATTGGTATTTATTAAGCACTGTTGATGACCAGAGCTGAGGATGTAGGATACATTCCTGCTTCCTACTGTGTTTATGTGAACAGCAGAGAGAGAAACGACACGAGAAAAGGCGGACGCTACAAGATCACAATAAGCAGTTTTTGTTTACAATTTTAAACAAAAGTATTTTCTCATAATTCAGGAATGAACACAGTCAGTGAATAAAAGTATGAACACTAGAACATTCTGCTACAGCTACTTATGCAACTACTACTACTACTACTACATACATGTATTTGAATGCAGTCGTCCCTGATGTCCTTTGAAGACACAGTTCTTTTAAAGTTCCCATGATGCTTTGCAGAGGACATCAGGTGTTTCTGTGCCGCGCTGAGGCAGAAACACCTGAGTCAGAGCTACAGGAGTCAGAGCTACAGGAGTCAGAGCTACAGGAGTCAGAGCCACAGGAGTCAGAGCCACAGGAGTCAGAGCTACAGGAGTCAGAGCTACAGGAGTCAGAGCTACAGGAGTCAGAGCTACAGGAGTCAGAGCTACAGGAGTCAGAGCTACAGGAGTCAGAGCTACAGGAGTCAGAGCCACAGGAGTCAGAGCTACAGGAGTCAGAGCTACAGGAGTCAGAGCTACAGGAGTCAGAGCTACAGGAGTCAGAGCTACAGGAGTCAGAGCCACAGGAGTCAGAGCTACAGGAGTCAGAGCTACAGGAGTCAGAGCTACAGGAGTCAGAGCTACAGGAGTCAGAGCCACAGGAGTCAGAGCCACAGGAGTCAGAGCCACAGGAGTCAGAGCTACAGGAGTCAGAGCTACAGGAGTCAGAGCTACAGGAGTCAGAGCCACAGGAGTCAGAGCCACAGGAGTCAGAGCTACAGGAGTCAGAGCTACAGGAGTCAGAGCCACAGGAGTCAGAGCTACAGGAGTCAGAGCTACAGGAGTCAGAGCCACAGGAGTCAGAGCCACAGGAGTCAGAGCTACAGGAGTCAGAGCTACAGGAGTCAGAGCTACAGGAGTCAGAGCTACAGGAGTCAGAGCTACAGGAGTCAGAGCTACAGGAGTCAGAGCCACAGGAGTCAGAGCCACAGGAGTCAGAGCCACAGGAGTCAGAGCTACAGGAGTCAGAGCTACAGGAGTCAGAGCTACAGGAGTCAGAGCTACAGGAGTCAGAGCTACAGGAGTCAGAGCCACAGGAGTCAGAGCTACAGGAGTCAGAGCTACAGGAGTCAGAGCTACAGGAGTCAGAGCTACAGGAGTCAGAGCCACAGGAGTCAGAGCCACAGGAGTCAGAGCCACAGGAGTCAGAGCTACAGGAGTCAGAGCTACAGGAGTCAGAGCTACAGGAGTCAGAGCCACAGGAGTCAGAGCCACAGGAGTCAGAGCTACAGGAGTCAGAGCTACAGGAGTCAGAGCTACAGGAGTCAGAGCCACAGGAGTCAGAGCCACAGGAGTCAGAGCCACAGGAGTCAGAGCTACAGGAGTCAGAGCTACAGGAGTCAGAGCTACAGGAGTCAGAGCCACAGGAGTCAGAGCCACAGGAGTCAGAGCTACAGGAGTCAGAGCTACAGGAGTCAGAGCTACAGGAGTCAGAGCTACAGGAGTCAGAGCTACAGGAGTCAGAGCTACAGGAGTCAGAGCCACAGGAGTCAGAGCCACAGGAGTCAGAGCTACAGGAGTCAGAGCCACAGGAGTCAGAGCTACAGGAGTCAGAGCCACAGGAGTCAGAGCCACAGGAGTCAGAGCTACAGGAGTCAGAGCCACAGGAGTCAGAGCCACAGGAGTCAGAGCTACAGGAGTCAGAGCTACAGGAGTCAGAGCTACAGGAGTCAGAGCTACAGGAGTCAGAGCTACAGGAAGAACCATGTCAGGGATAATGGACAGAGTAACGCTGCAGTGCTCTCTCACACACACATCTGTGTTCTTCAGATTATCATAATACACTGATCGTTAGAAAAACACTGCTGAAGTGAGAGAGAGCTTTACCTTTGGTCTCTCCTCTGTCTCCTCGGTCGCCCTTCTCTCCCTTCATCCCTCGCTCTCCTCTCTCACCTTGAAACAGAAAAACAAACGTCAAGACCAGAGAGAGAGACCAGAGAGACCAGAGAGAGACCAGAGAGACCAGAGAGATACCAGAGAGAGACCAGAGAGAGAGACCAGAGAGACCAGAGAGAGACCAGAGAGAGAGACCAGAGAGAGAGACCAGAGAGAGAGAGACCAGAGAGAGAGACCAGAGAGAGACCAGAGAGAGAGACCAGAGAGAGACCAGAGAGACCAGAGAGAGACCAGAGAGAGAGCAGAGAGAGAGCAGAGAGAGACCAGAGAGAGAGACCAGAGAGAGATCAGAGAGACCAGAGAGAGACCAGAGAGAGACCAGAGAGAGAGACCAGAGAGAGACCAGAGAGAGAGACCAGAGAGAGACCAGAGAGACCAGAGAGAGACCAGAGAGAGACCAGAGAGAGAGACCAGAGAGAGACCAGAGAGACCAGAGAGAGACCAGAGAGAGACCAGAGAGAGAGAGAGACCAGAGAGACCAGAGAGAGACCAGAGAGAGACCAGAGAGAGAGACCAGAGAGAGAGACCAGAGAGAGAGACCAGAGAGAGAGACCAGAGAGAGACCAGAGAGAGAGACCAGAGAGAGACCAGAGAGACCAGAGAGAGACCAGAGAGAGAGCAGAGAGAGAGCAGAGAGAGACCAGAGAGAGAGACCAGAGAGAGATCAGAGAGACCAGAGAGAGACCAGAGAGAGACCAGAGAGAGAGACCAGAGAGAGACCAGAGAGAGAGACCAGAGAGAGACCAGAGAGACCAGAGAGAGACCAGAGAGAGACCAGAGAGAGAGACCAGAGAGACCAGAGAGAGACCAGAGAGAGACCAGAGAGAGAGACCAGAGAGAGAGACCAGAGAGAGAGACCAGAGAGAGAGACCAGAGAGAGACCAGAGAGAGACCAGAGAGAGAGACCAGAGAGAGACCAGAGAGACCAGAGAGAGACCAGAGAGAGAGCAGAGAGAGAGCAGAGAGAGACAGAGAGAGAGACCAGAGAGAGACCAGGAGAGATCAGAGAGACCAGAGAGAGACCAGAGAGAGACCAGAGAGAGACCAGAGAGAGAGACCAGAGAGAGACCAGAGAGAGAGACCAGAGAGAGACCAGAGAGACCAGAGAGAGACCAGAGAGAGAGACCAGAGAGAGATCAGAGGGAGACCAGAGAGAGGGACCAGAGAGAGACCAGAGAGAGACCAGAGAGAGACCAGAGAGAGACCAGAGAGAGAGACCAGAGAGAGACCAGAGAGACCAGAGAGAGACCAGAGAGAGACCAGAGAGAGGGACCAGAGGGCGAACAGAGAGAGACCAGAGAGAGACCAGAGAGAGACCAGAGAGAGACCAGAGAGAGACCAGAGGGCGAACAGAGAGAGACGAGAGAGACTAGAGAGAGAACAGAGAGAGACCAGAGAGAGACCAGAGAGACCATAGAGAGACCAGAGAGAGAGACCAGAGAGACCATAGAGAGACCAGAGGGCGAACAGAGAGGGACCAGAGAGAGACCAGAAAGAGACCAGAGAGAGACCAGAGGGAGGCCAGAGAGAGACCAGAAAGAGACCAGAGAGACCAGAGAGAGACCAGAGAGAGACCAGAGAGAGAGACCAGAGAGACCTGAGAGAGACCAGAGAGAGACCAGAGAGACCTGAGAGAGACCAGAATTTGGTTTGTGACTTCCTGTTACTAACATTGGCAATATTTCTGAATAATTCTGATCCGATTGTAAAAATAAATACTTGTATACATTTATATTGAAATATATGACACATGGTGAACTCTGGAAAATGCTTGATTATATATTTACATATATTTGTTCGTGTATAAACTGTGAGCACAAGAGGCAACACAACCATGTACAAAAGTATCTCCATTGTCTAAGAAGTGTAAACTTTATAAATACAGTTTTTATCACAGACTGTGTGAACAATAATGTTGTTGTGGTTCATAGAAATGCATAAATTATAATCTCTTCACACATTCTTCACAAACAGCAGAGTTCGCGTCTCCATCACACGGCGCTGTCAAAACAAACCTCATTTTGAATAAATATCTCTGACCCGTCGACCTCGGCTCGATCCACACTCCTCCCAGACTAAAAACATGTCCCAGCTTTCCTCCTCAGTCAGATTCTCAAACCAGAAACACAAAAATCTCTCTCTCTTTCTCTTTGTCAATCCCTCTTGTGTCTGATCTCTGGTCTCTGGTCTAGGGTCTCTCTGGTCTAGGGTCTCTCTGGTCTCTGGTCTAGGGTCTCTCTGGTCTCTGGTCTAGGGTCTCGCTGGTCTCTGGTCTAGGGTCTCTGTTTCTCTGGTCTAGGGTCTCTCTGGTCTCTGGTCTTGGGTCTCTCTGGTCTCTGGTCTCTCTGGTCTCTGGTCTAGGGTCTCTCTGGTCTCGGGTCTCGCTGGTCTCTTGTCTAGGGTCTCTCTGGTCTCTGGTCTCTCTGGTCTCTGGTCTAGGGTCTCTCTGGTCTCTGGTCTAGGGTCTTGCTGGTCTCTGGTGTAGGGTCTCGCTGGTCTCTGGTGTAGGGTATTGCTGGTCTCTGGTCTAGGGTCTCTCTGGTCTCTGGTGTAGGGTATTGCTGGTCTCTGGTCTCTCTGGTCTCTGGTCTAGGGTCTCGCTGGTCTCTGGTCTAGGGTCTCTGTCTCTCTGGTCTAGGGTCTCTCTGGTCTCTGGTCTAGGGTCTCTCTGGTCTCTGGTCTAGGGTCTCTCTGGTCTCTGGTCTAGGGTCTCTCTGGTCTCTGGTGTAGGGTCTCGCTGGTCTCTGGTGTAGGGTCTCTCTGGTCTCTGGTCTAGGGTCTCTCTGGTCTCTGGTCTAGGGTCTCTCTGGTCTCTGGTCTAGGGTCTCGCTGGTCTCTGGTGTAGGGTCTCTCTGGTCTCTGGTCTAGGGTCTCTCTGGTCTCTGGTGTAGGGTCTCTCTGGTCTCTGGTGTAGGGTCTCGCTGGTCTCTGGTGTAGGGTCTCTCTGGTCTCTGGTCTAGGGTCTCTCTGGTCTCTGGTGTAGGGTCTCTCTGGTCTCTGGTGTAGGGTCTCGCTGGTCTCTGGTGTAGGGTCTCTCTGGTCTCTGGTCTAGGGTCTCTCTGGTCTCTGGTGTAGGGTCTCTCTGGTCTCTGGTCTAGGGTCTCTCTGGTCTCTGGTGTAGGGTCTCTCTGGTCTCTGGTGTAGGGTCTCGCTGGTCTCTGGTGTAGGGTCTCTCTGGTCTCTGGTCTAGGGTCTCTGTTTCTCTGGTCTAGGGTCTCTCTGGTCTCTGGTCTCTCTGGTCTCTGGTCTAGGGTCTCTCTGGTCTCGGGTCTCGCTGGTCTCTTGTCTAGGGTCTCTCTAGTCTCTGGTCTCTCTGGTCTCTGGTCTAGGGTCTCTCTGGTCTCTGGTCTAGGGTCTCGCTGGTCTCTGGTGTAGGGTCTCGCTGGTCTCTGGTGTAGGGTATTGCTGGTCTCTGGTCTAGGGTCTCTGTCTCTCTGGTCTAGGGTCTCTCTGGTCTCTGGTCTAGGGTCTCTCTGGTCTCTGGTCTAGGGTCTCTCTGGTCTCTGGTCTAGGGTCTCTCTGGTCTCTGGTGTAGGGTATTGCTGGTCTCTGGTCTCTCTGGTCTCTGGTCTAGGGTCTCGCTGGTCTCTGGTCTAGGGTCTCTGTCTCTCTGGTCTAGGGTCTCTCTGGTCTCTGGTCTAGGGTCTCTCTGGTCTCTGGTCTAGGGTCTCTCTGGTCTCTGGTGTAGGGTCTCGCTGGTCTCTGGTGTAGGGTCTCTCTGGTCTCTGGTCTAGGGTCTCTCTGGTCTCTTGTCTAGGGTCTCTCTGGTCTCTGGTGTAGGGTCTCGCTGGTCTCTGGTGTAGGGTCTCTCTGGTCTCTGGTGTAGGGTCTCTCTGGTCTCTGGTGTTAGGGTCTCTCTGGTCTCTGGTGTAGGGTCTCGCTGGTCTCTGGTGTAGGGTCTCTCTGGTCTCTGGTCTAGGGTCTCTCTGGTCTCTGGTGTAGGGTCTCTCTGGTCTCTGGTGTAGGGTCTCGCTGGTCTCTGGTGTAGGGTCTCTCTGGTCTCTGGTCTAGGGTCTCTCTGGTCTCTGGTGTAGGGTCTCTCTGGTCTCTGGTCTAGGGTCTCGCTGGTCTCTGGTGTAGGGTCTCTCTGGTCTCTGGTCTAGGGTCTCTCTGGTCTCTGGTGTAGGGTCTCTCTGGTCTCTGGTGTAGGGTCTCGCTGGTCTCTGGTGTAGGGTCTCGCTGGTCTCTGGTCTAGGGTCTCTCTGGTCTCTGGTGTAGGGTCTCTCTGGTCTCTGGTGTAGGGTCTCGCTGGTCTCTGGTCTAGGGTCTCTCTGGTCTCTGGTGTAGGGTCTCTCTGGTCTCTGGTGTAGGGTCTCGCTGGTCTCTGGTCTAGGGTCTCTCTGGTCTCTGGTGTAGGGTCTCTCTGGTCTCTGGTGTAGGGTCTCGCTGGTCTCTGGTGTAGGGTCTCGCTGGTCTCTGGTCTAGGGTCTGTGTTTGTCTGAAGCTTTATCTTGTTATTGCAGATGTTAGATCAGACTCACCCTTTGGTCCTGCTGGTCCTGTGTCTCCCTTCTCCCCCGGGGCCCCAGCCTCCCCCGAGGGCCCCTTCAGGCCCCGGGCCCCTGGCATCCCTTTGGGTCCTGACACACCTGGGGACGGAGCAACACATGAGACACAAGAGAAACACAGAGCAGTCCCACAGCACCTGCACAGACACAGGGAGAACATGCAAACTCCACACAGAGGTCGCCTACAGGAGGCACGTGCACCCGGAGGAAACCTGCACAGACACAGGGAGAACATGCAAACTCCACACAGAGGTCGCCTACAGGAGGCACGTGCACCCGGAGGAAACCTGCACAGACACAGGGAGAACATGCAAACTCCACACAGAGGTCGCCTACAGGAGGCACTTATAATCTGTTGTGTGTATTTATATATTACTATTTTGTCTTCTGTGTTTTAGTTTTTTCTAACTTGTTTGCACTTTATGCCAAAGCAAAGTTTGTGACTTTTTGTTACTTTCAAAGGAAATAAAAATAATTTTGATTTTGAGAACAGACGGTTCTGTGGTTCTGTGGTTCTTTATTGTATAGTTTATTTGGTCGGGACATGTTCATGAACACATCAGTCCAGACTGTAGCGTTGGGATCATATCCCACATTCACACTCACAAACACACACTCATTCACCCAGAACTACTGCACATGGGAAACCGGAGTACCCGGAGGAAACCTTCGCAGACACGGGGAGAACATGCAAACTCCACTCAGAAAGGCCCTATTCTGACCGAGATTCGAACCCAGGACCTTCTTGCTGAGAGGCGAGAGTGCTAACCACTCAGCCACCGTGCCGCCCTTTGGTCGTTGCTTTCTGAGAGTTTGGCCCCAGATTCTTCCCGCTCCTTATGTAGGAGACAATAACATGTCATTTAATAATAATCAGAAACATGTGTAAAGCTTGATCCTGATTGGTCGATGACCTCATCACAGACGCTCTGGAACCGTCTCCATAAAGTTATTTTTAAATGAATTGAACGTATTCCATGTTAATACTTAGTCTTTGGTCAAATCTCAGTGAGTGCATCAAGACCAAGACAAAACATCTGGGACCCGAACCCAATAAATAAATATATTTGAAAACAATTTGAAAATCATGTATTTTATCTGGTTTTATCTGGTTTTGTCTGGTTTTGTCTGGTTTTATCTGGTTATGTCTGGTTTTGTCTGGTTTTGTCTGGTTTTGTCTGGTTTTGTCTGGTTTTATCTGGTTTTATCTGGTTATATCTGGTTTTGTCTGGTTATATCTGGTTTTGTCTGGTTTTGTCTGGTTTTATCTGGTTTTATCTGGTTATATCTGGTTTTGTCTGGTTATGTCTGGTTATGTCTGGTTTTGTCTGGTTTTATCTGGTTTTATCTGGTTATATCTGGTTTTGTCTGGTTATGTCTGGTTATGTCTGGTTTTATCTGGTTTTGTCTGGTTATATCTGGTTTTGTCTGGTTATGTCTGGTTATATCTGGTTATATCTGGTTTTGTCTGGTTTTGTCTGGTTTTATCTGGTTTTGTCTGGTTATGTCTGGTTATGTCTGGTTATGTCTGGTTTTGTCTGGTTTTGTCTGGTTTTGTCTGGTTTTGTCTGGTTTTGTCTGGTTTTGTCTGGTTTTATCTGGTTATATCTGGTTTTGTCTGGTTATATCTGGTTATATCTGGTTTTGTCTGGTTTTGTCTGGTTTTGTCTGGTTATATCTGGTTTTGTCTGGTTATATCTGGTTTTATCTGGTTTTATCTGGTTTTATCTGGTTATATCTGGTTATATCTGGTTTTGTCTGGTTTTGTCTGGTTTTGTCTGGTTATATCTGGTTATATCTGGTTTTATCTGGTTTTGTCTGGTTTTGTCTGGTTTTGTCTGGTTATATCTGGTTTTATCTGGTTTTATCTGGTTTTATCTGGTTTTATCTGGTTATATCTGGTTTTGTCTGGTTTTGTCTGGTTTTGTCTGGTTTTGTCTGGTTATATCTGGTTATATCTGGTTTTGTCTGGTTTTGTCTGGTTATATCTGGTTTTATCTGGTTTTGTCTGGTTTTGTCTGGTTATATCTGGTTTTGTCTGGTTTTGTCTGGTTTTGTCTGGTTTTGTCTGGTTATATCTGGTTATATCTGGTTTTGTCTGGTTTTGTCTGGTTTTGTCTGGTTTTGTCTGGTTTTATCTGGTTTTATCTGGTTTTGTCTGGTTATATCTGGTTTTGTCTGGTTTTGTCTGGTTTTGTCTGGTTTTGTCTGGTTTTATCTGGTTTTATCTGGTTATATCTGGTTTTGTCTGGTTTTGTCTGGTTTTATCTGGTTTTATCTGGTTATGTCTGGTTTTGTCTGGTTTTATCTGGTTTTATCTTGTTTTGTCTGGTTATATCTGGTTTTGTCTGGTTATATATGGAGCTTTCGCGAAAGTTCACCGTGGTAGACCCGGCTGTTGCTGCCAGGCCACAGGCTGCTCTTCCTCGACTCATCAATACCAGCAACGCCCACACCCAGTCAACCAATAACCACCAGGACAGCAAGTTAAAAGCCGGAGACGCCCACTTCCCGATCTTCTGAAGTCTGCAGCTTCTGAAGCCTGCAAGGTGCATGTCGCTAACGCACCTGTTCGCAAATGCATGCGTTGTTCTGGAGGGGTCGCTTCTGCTCACGTGTTGCTCGTGCGCGTGGCCCGGCTGTCCTCAGTCTGGCTGCTCGTGGTCTGCTCCTCCTCCGCGTCCCTGCACCTGCTGTGGTTCGCATATCCCCACTGCTCTCCTCCTCTGCGGGCTCTTCTGCGGGCTGCTCCGCGGGGCCCCTCCGCGGTTCTGTGCTGCTCGTTCCTCGTGGTCTGCTGCCGCGCGCAGACGGTCTGCTGGTGCCGTGCGTGTCCCTGCCTCCGACTGGCGGTGCCGCGTCGTCCCGTTGCTTTCCCAAGTCTCCTGGCATGTGAGTACAGTGAGTGTGCCGACCGCGGACAGTTTAATCCCGGAGTCTAGGCTGCAGGCGGCTGGTTTTTGCCCTACGCACTTGACTGCAGGCGTCAGTCTTCGCCCGTGCTTGGTCTGCAGGCTCCGTTTTACACGTGTTGAGCTAACTGAGGGTCAATGCATCTTAAATGGCATCAATCTCCAATGTCTGAGGGATATAAGAGGAGCAATGTGCATTAATTCAGATTCATGTTCTGCCACTTGCAGTAAAACCACGTTGGAAAAAATGTGCAAAGACTACCCCATCGTGCTCCAGACGGCACACACAGAGCTCTTGCACGGCGCCATCTTTACAGCATCAATCTCATTACTCGCAAGTCACTATTGTTAAATGATGTATTTAAATTCGTCTATCTGCAGGAGGAAGGAGGGGCCATGCATTTAAATAGCTAGGTCACTAGTATTAAACTGGGTAACTAAACTGCAGTTGTTGCATTTCGAAAGTGCAGCAGAAAGAAAAGGGGCCCAATGTGAATATGCAATGGGTTTGAAGTGGAGCTGGAGCTAATGAACGCATGGATCAGTGATCGTTCATGCGTATCTGCCATAACCAAAGCAGCAAGATGGCTCCAGGGGACATCTGTTTCTCGCATGGGAATGTTTCGGATTCGGGTTGATTTATTTCCTCAGGCTCTTAAACAACCGTGGGCATGGTTCTCTGACCGCCGCTGCTGCGGTCCCTGCTGCCGTTCCTACTGATGCCTGATCCCGCTGCTGCCTATTCCTGCTGCTGCCTGTCCCTGCTGCCTGCTCCTGCTGCTCCTACTACTACATGTGCCGCTGCTGCTGTTCCTGCCGCTGCCGCTCCGCAGGCTCCCAGGCTGCACCTATCTCTACGGCTCGGCTCTTCAGACACGTACGTAACCTGGCTCACGGAGACAAGCGGCGCACGCTGGCGTGACACGTCTGTTGTTCGTATGAATTGCATTGTGCTGCTGCTGCTTGCTGCTTCTGCTGCCGCTACTGCTGCTATTGCTGCCGCTGCTGCTTCATACTGCATCTGCTGCCGTGCTGCTGCTGCTTCTTTACTTTGACACCTCTCTTCACTGCGCATCTCTTTTACTGAAACACTAAACCGCTACAACAATATTCTACTGCTCTGGCTTTGATACAGGATTATGGCTGTTATTATCTACGGATGCTGCAACCGCTGCTGCTTCATACTGCTACTGCTGCTACTGCTAATGCTGCTTCTGCTGCTTCATACTGCTACCGTTACTGCTGCTGCTACTGCTGCGCTGCTGCTGCTGCTTCATGTACTTTGACATCCCTCTTCACTTCGCATCTCTTTTACTGAAACACTAAACGGCTACAACAATATTCTACTGCTCTGGCTTTGATACAGGATTATTGCTGCTATTATCGACGGATGCTGCAGCTGCTGCTGCTTCATACTGCTGCTGCTGCTGCTTCATACTGCTACTGCTGCTGCTTCATACGGCTACTGCTGCTACTACTGCTGCTGCTGCTTCATTTACTTTGCCATCTCTCTTCACTTCGCATCTCTTTTACTGAAACCCTGAACAGCTACAACAACATTCTACTGCTGTGGCTTTGATACAGAATTATTACTGTTATTTTCTAAGGACGCTGCTGCTGCTACTGCTGCTGCCGCGGCTTGATACAGGACTTTTGCTGTTATTATCTGAGGCTACTGCTGCTGCCGCTGCTGCTACTGCTACTGCAACCCATTCTCTCAGAAGCTTATCCTGCTTCTAATGGATGCAGCCCGGCTGAGTATGCCGCGCTGCGCCGGACTCGCACCTATGCTCCCAGGGTCGCTTCGGCGGTCGTGCTTCATCTCTCTACTGAATCTTCTGATTCTATCAGATGCAGCTGGCCAAGTAGCTGCGCTGAGCCGTCAATCGGACTCCTAATCAAAGGCATCCATACCTAGTTCTTCACTCTTCTGATCACAGGCTCCCCATCATGCTGCCCATCCTGCAGCGGCGCTGAACTCCGGCTCATCTTCCAAGTACATGTCTGCCCTCCTCGCAGCATCTTCTGCTCGCCTTCTGTGGCTTCTCTGCATAAGCGTTTCACCACTGCTCACTCAACCTTCAATGCGGTCCGAGACACGGCTTCCCGTCCTATCCTACTGGCCTAATTATCTACTCTCCAACCCAAG